GAGAAAGGAGAAGGAGAGAGTAGGGATGGAGCGAGGAGCTGCGGAAGACAGATGGAACGAACGAGACACGTTCGGCGAGCTGATGCTGCATAGCTCTTTTTCTCGTGCGCCGGGCGTCGTCTGTCCGTCCGTTTCATCTGGAAACGCGAGAGGTGCCCCGAAAGTGAGCAGAGGGAGATTGAGAGAGGAGGGGGAGGGGAGTGCTATGTCATAGAAACGAAAAGCATTGTTTTGTACCGTTGGCTTGTTAATTCACCACAGTGCTGTTTTGCCTTCCGGGCGTCCACGTTCCAGTTTTCTGTCGTTTCCTTCTTTTTGCCTCGACCGCCCTCCTCTCTGCTGCGGCGCTCTTTATTTGCCCTCCTTACCCTCGCCCCCCTCCCCTCTCTCTCTCTCACCCTCTCTCACTCCCCCTCTCTCACTCTGTCTCTTTCTCTATCTCTCACCCACCTCAGGATGCATAATTGACGTGAGTGTTGGCTGCAAACAAAAACAATTACCAGTCCTCATTCGCTCTCGTGTTTGCGTTCCTTTGCGGCGTGGCGGCGTGTAAACGGCAACTCGATCTGTGACAAAGTACAAAGGTCGTGCATTGAAAAGCTGTGGCGTCGTATGCGTGAGCCCAGCTACCATTATGTGCGATCACATGAAATATACTTTACGTTGAAGCAGCAAGCAACACATGGATGTGAGAACCAAAATGATGTGTCTCTGAATTGGTAACTATTGCAGTGACGGGCATATTTACGAGTGGTCTTTTGAGCTGACCATCATTGCTTTGGTCTAGTCTGGATGCACGTGTTTGCTGCGATTCTAGGGTGAATGTTGTTGTCCGACAACAGTGCTTAAACATCGTTTATGGGGGTTAACTTGGGGCACACAGTACATTTTATATACAGCAGAGCGTCAATAAATTTATCATCACCCCTGGTTCGTGTCGCCGCTGCCACCGCCTCCCCTAGACGGGTCGCTGCCCGGCCTGCCGCTGCCTCTGGCCCCCGCACACAGAACAATGATGATAAGCTGTGAGAACTATCGTATCGAACCGACCACCATACATAACATATCGCCATGACAACAATCACTCCCTAAACGCTGTGGTCGCTTCGGTCGCTTTTGTTTCCTAAGTTTTGGCATTTGTAAACATATGTCTTTCCAAATTCCTAATTTTTGCATTCAGTTAGAAATTTTAGCCTCTTTATAATATTAAAATTTGGATTTCTTAAAAAGATTCCTAAAAGTCGGCAAATCAACGAGGGCGCTGCGAAAATTTTCGCGAGCAAAAGAAACTACGGCGTCAGGCGTCACGAGTTCAGCTAGTGCGCTAAACCCGTTTTGGTTTTCACGACACATGTTGTTTCAAACATATTTCACAGTAGTCCTTTGGGCTAGCCATAGGATGGCAGCTACTTTATTTAATTTAAAAAAAATATTCTAGGTGTGGTCCTTTGCTGGGATGGGCCCGGGCTTGTTAGCCGCCCCCACACCACCCACCCCCATCTCCCTGCGCTCCCTGCTGCTTGCTTCTCCGTCTCATTTTGTTTTGCCGCAATTACGCTTTTGAAATTACAAGTCCCCAAGGCGCACGATACAGCGCGCCCGCACACGAGCCTGATGGCCTTGTTTGGTCCCTGGGAAATGACTTTGCGGAATGGGGGGCAAGGTTGCGTTTGTCTGTTTTGCGCGCGTCCGGAGGGGGCGGAGGGAGTGGCGTGGCGAGGCGGTGCCGCGCGGTATGGTCGGCTGGCGTACAGCGGCCATGCGCCGCCCCGCAGACCAGCCGGCCAAAGGCAAAGGAAGAGCAAAGGGACTCCGGAAGAGCCGTGGCTCCGCACGCCGGCGGGTCCGCGGGCGGGCCGCAGTTACAAATGGGACACTGCGCGGCCCGAGACAACGAGGCCCAGCCCCGGCCAACACCTTCCCTCGCCTTCTCTAATGCCCCTTTTTGTTTTCGTTTTGTTGCAGGCTGCTGAGGATTATTCTCCGCAGACGTGGTGCCGGTGAGTGCCTGTATTCGCTCGCTTTAATACTTGGCAGTCCCGCTGTCGTTCCTCAAGTTTCCCAAGTTTTTAAAAAATATTTGTTTAAATGCGAATTTCATATTATTTTTTGCTGATGGTGCAGGGGGTGCAGGTGCGGTCTTGCCCCCTAAACCCCTTCGTGGGAGGCAGGAGCTCGTCACCGGCTGGCGAGCAGGTAGAACGGCTTATAGGTTTTGCGCTGCGGCGGGCATCGGCATGGAAAATTGAGATTATGTGGTGGGGTAAGAAAAAGGAATTTGTCGCTAGCTGGCATCAGTGAGAAAAGCGTAGCAAATGCTCTTTAGCGTGCATTGCCTTGGTGCAGACATTAATGTTTATAGTTTCTGAATCTTGCTATTACATTTATTATTTACAACAACCAACTTTCCTGCGTTTGCCTCCGCACCCACGACGGAATACGGCGCCTGGCGTGTGACTGATCAATATTGCGTCCTCTATGAAGCCACCTGGCGGCTGGCTTAAGGAATGCTTTATCCACTTCCGATACATTATGTGGTCGAAGCGAAGTAGGGGGTAGGGGCAGTGGAGAAGACCGGAGCGGCAGTATCCGTTCCGATGGCTCTCCCGCCGAAAGGGTCATATGCCGCCGCAGCCGTCACAAAGGGCAAAAGAGTTTCCAGAATGTAAAACTGTTTGTTCTCTTTTCCTGGCAGCGGCCCGTGCGAACTTCAAACGCCGCCCTCCCAGGCGAAAGCATGCGAAAACAACGCGGACTTCGATAAAGGCGCGATCATACAAGCGGCACAGGCCCCCAAAGGAGTTTGGTTCCCATACAGTACCTTCTCTCTCTGCCTCTCTCCCTCTCTGTCTCTCCCTCTCTCCCTCTCTGTCTCTCCCTCTCTCCCCTCCTGTTTCACCACCACCAGCCCCAAACGACACGGCGCCGTCTCCGAGCTTTGGCCATTCGGGAGCCCAACGATGACTATTTGACCCCGTCTGTACCGCAGGCAGTGATTTTATGCCCCCTCCCCCGGGGG